GATATAATATTCTTTGCTTTATGGTCTAATACCACGATGTAAAATAGAAAATACGTGTACTGTACTACAGTAGAGGATAAAAAAATATTTTAATGATGGTAAGTTAAATTTAAATAATACGATCAGGTATTGAATAACATATTATAATGATTACTATAATATGTTATTGCACTCAGTTCTTTTATTGTTATAACTATAGTTTATTTTAATGTATAATAATTATTAACATTACAATAAAGCAACTGCACTGCACAGTCATTAGAGTATTAATTGTTCTACTATTAGGTACCTCTCTCGAATGAAAATATGAAAGTAAAAATGATGATACAACTTTGTAATCTCGAAGCCGATAATAAATTTAAATTTACATAATTAGATAAAACTTAAAGGCCGACCGTCTTAAATTAATTGTTTTATTTAATTTAACGTTTATTTTGCCGCTCTAAATATCTCTGGGTACAACGACGTGGCAATTAACGACGCCCGTGTCTGTTCTTGAAATTAACGGCCTTTCTGTTACAGACTTCATTCTGGCGAAACTACAAACAGGGTGAAGAGAAAGTGCATGTATACGGTGATGGAGGAGAGAAAAATGTTAATTGCAAAAAGTGCATTTTGGTAATCAAATCAGCATATTGATTGATATTATTTTCCCTCTTCTAAAATAGATGTACATGACTTAGGTACCATAATAATTTGTGTTACTGCAGTGATAAATTATATACAAACGACTGCAACATTTGAACATATATTAAAGAACCGTGAGTTTTTTAATAATAGATATTTATTCATATATTTTTGACAGCGATGCACCAAAAATATTGTATTATTGTATCAAACAACAATAAAATGAGATAAAATTACCGAATAAATCGGATAAAATGAGCCGAACCCACTTTAAGCCCTGTTTAATATTTCAAACGTATCTCAAGTACCTACCTAGGTAAATCAACATATGCACATACAGCGTAATGGTAAGTTATTATATTATGCGTTTTATCACTTCATACGATAATATGACTGTATAGCTATATTTTTATTATACACAGTCATATCATGTCATCGTATCTTTCTGTAACAGATCTTTTTATATTTTTAGTCACGTACGATTAGAATGAAAATATCTGGCCGATTTTAAATTTCACTATTCAGCGAAACGGTTGCGAACAAATATATCTTAAATATTTGTATCTTGTATTATAATATCGTCTCATTATATTTCCAAACTGTATTTGTAGCAAAATACATATTATTCACTTTCTGGTTTATTTAGACAAATTGTTAAACTTGAATATTATAATTACGTGTTCCAACATAACGATCCTTAATATTTTAACTAATACCTAGGTATGCATTTGAGTTTCTGGTTAATAATATTATGTGAAATATTTCACATAGATTTTGAATTGAACATACAAATCACAAATGTATGCGTTGAATTGCATCCTAAGACATCTTAAGTGATAAAGAAAAGCTATTTACGTGTAGCTGAAAAAAGCTTTTCTGGATTATTTTTGACCGAGTCCACGAAATTTTGATGATTCTATTATATTAAAATTCAGTTCACATAAAATATTGATTTCAGTACGTGTTCCGCACCCGTCAGAGCAACACGTGTGTTACCTTATCGCGAGTGCGCTTTTATAGCTTCGATAGCCAACACAGCCACGTCGTAATACACCGATACCAGGTAATATGACTATTAATTAATTATTAGTTATACAATACCCAGGCATTAGTATTCTCGATATGAAAAAAAACTCCCCGGGCACCATGCCCATCACACCAAACCCCAGTAGATCAAACACTCAAAAAAATATGCACACACATTCTATCAACTCCAAAATCCCCACATCACCATCAACTAAAGGAAATAAATCTATCTCAAATTCTCCATCGACATCACGGAACGTAATCGCAATGAATACCTCCACCCGCCATCCACCTACGACGGCCAGTACGATAACGGCCGAACTACCTAATGACACCGCGACAAACCCAGCCGTATACTCCGATAACGTCGTATCTAATGTTCATAAAAACAATCATACACAACCGACATCCAATAATGGTATTAATAACACCGATAGCTCATTAAATTTCGCTAGCATTGTCGCTAAAGAGATAACACCCAATAGAGAACAAGCAATCGTGTTCAACTCAATTGACGGAATCCCACAAAAGGATTACGTAATAGCCATCGGCCAAATCGTCCAGCCCAAAAACATATTATTCGTATCCAGAATCTCAAACAATAGATTTTGCATATTTCTTAACAGCAAAGAAATACTTGAATCGCTCATCGTCAAAAACCCAACAATCACTATAAACGGACATGAAATACAATTACGCAGGCTGTTAAACCCAGCAAAACGTATTGTTATATCTAACGTCTGCCCCTCCATACCTAACACAACTATACTGCATGCCCTTCAAAACTTAGATATATCACCCTCATCTCAAATTAACCATCTCAAAGCCGGTATTAACCTCGTGGGATATGAACACATCCTAAGTTTTCGTAGACAGATATATATTAAACATGAAGACATACACAAATTACCTGGATCTCTGACCTTATCACACAATCAGTCCCAATTTAGAGTTTTCTTCACGGACGACACTCTTACCTGCTACACTTGTCATAAAACTGGACATACATCCAATACATGCAAAAAAGATCTTCTAAATGATACAAACATGCAAACAGTGCATGATCATAACCCTTTATTAAAACCGGAAAACTCACCCGAAAAATGCAATGATAAAGCAGATATCATTTTACCTTTGCAACCTCCCCTAATACACAATACGTCAGAGAACACAAACCTGGATTGGTTAGAAAATCTCCCCATCACAACAGACACAGTGATAATACATTCCTCTCCATCAGCCCCTGTAAATACTATCTCAAGAAAAAGCAACGAAAAAGAACCTCTACAAATTACTGGGGACCCCAGCATGGATACAACTGACAATAACAAAAGACCCCTATCGGAAACAGCTTCGACGCCGATGTCACCCACCACGAACAACTCTCCTCACTCCCCTATCTCCAAAGGCAAGCCCAACAAAAAAAAACCAAAAATAAGCTCTCGTTCCAACTCCTTCTCACAAGCTGAAGATAACCCAATAGTCAGCTCTTTAAAACCAGTTGAAAGCCACTTCCTCGACACCAACAACGTACCAATCTCATTGCTGCAATATCAATATATAATCGAAAACTTTTCAAATAAATCCATCAACATACACACCCTTTTAAAACAAGTCAACACCGACATCAAAACGATCATCGATATAACCGAAAAAATTCAGCCAATGATAAGGGAAACCAAAATGAAGGCCAAGCTCACTAGACTAAGACACCTTCTCTTCCAAAGTCTGCCGCCGTCAGACCAAAATTAAAACTCACATCCCTCACTCAGTCATGACCAGTATTATTCAATGGAACATAAACGGATTCTTCAAAAGATCCGTTGATATAAACCGAATTCTCTTCGAACTCAACCCTCATTTACTCTGTTTCCAAGAAACTAATTTAAAAAATTCTCAAAGTCCCTACCTTAAAAACTTCACAGGATACATTAAAAATCGTACAATAGTAAATAGAGCCAGTGGAGGAGTAGCGATATTCATCCATAAGAATATTGAAAGCAAAGAAGTCACGATCCAAACCCACTTAGAAACAATAGCGACGATAGTCGAACTCGATAAACAAATTTGCATTTGTAATATTTATATACCAGACAGTACTCCCTTCACGTCTTTTGATATTAAAAACATAATAGACCAACTTCCGAAACCTTTCATATTAATGGGAGACTTCAACAGCCGCAATACATCTTGGGGATGTAACATCACAGACTCCCGTGGTAAAACAATCGAACAATTAATCGAAAACGAACAATCTCTCATATTACTAAACAATGGAGATCCCACCAGATACAACAGTTTTAACGGATCATTATCTGCCGTAGACCTAACCTTATCCTCTTCTAATCTAATACCTTCAATGGAATGGCAGGTCCTAACTTCTTATAGTGGAAGTGATCACTGGCCTATAGAAATTCATATCCAGAATAAAAACACTTCATATGATCCCCCTTTCAAATGGAACCTCTCAAAACCAAACTGGAAACTTTTTTCCGAACTCGTAGAACATGATTTGATTTTAAATCCAATCGACCTAAATGTGAACATTACCCAAGAACATATTGATTCCATTGTTAATAACTTCTCTAACATAATACTCAAAGCAGCAAACATAGCAATAGGTTTTAAGTCAAGTAACTACAAACGCAAAACGACTCCCTGGTGGAATTCCGAATGCAACAACGCTATTAAAAAATATAAACAAGCACTTAACCGCTTCAAAAAAACTAAAGACCCGTCAGACCATATTCTCCTAAAAAAATCAAGAGCAGAAGCTAGATATATCACTAAAACAAGCAAAATACTATCTTGGAAAAATTTTACCTCGACCATCAATCACAAAATAGACCCAGCAGCATTATGGAACAAAATTCGAACATTAAAAGGATATAAATCCCCCCCTACTCCAGATCGACTGAGAGATAATCTGAACAAAATATATTCATCCTCGGCCAGCGTCTCGGAAGCGTTCGCCCAATTTTTTCAAAAAAACAACAGCAACCAAAATTACTCTGATGAATTTTTAGCACACAAAAATTCTTATTCATCATTACTGTTAGACATCTACCAACGATCATTGTTTTAACCTTCCTCTAAACCTAAGTGAACTTCTATCAGTCCTTCAAAACAGCAAAAGTAAAAGCCCAGGGCCCGACAATATACCTAATTCATTTATTCAAAACCTTCCCGAAAATGGACTCTCGACTCTTCTCCAGATCTTCAATTCAATATGGACACAGGGTACCTTTCCAAACCAATGGCGGAGTGCAACAGTAATCCCCATCCCAAAACCGGGAAAAAACAAATTTGAAATTCACAACTATAGACCCATATCCCTTATAAACACCATGAGCAAAGTCCTGGAAAAAATCATTAACAAGAGACTTATCTGGTTCCTTGAATCGACAAATCGAATCTCAAACCAACAATGCGGCTTCAGACGTAATTATTCTACCATGGACAACCTATCTTCACTCCACACAGACATCTGTACAGCATTCAAAAGCAACCAACATCTCATTCTGATTTCACTCGATCTGCAAAAGGCATACGACATGGTATGGAGAGACAGAGTACTATCGACACTCATAAAATGGGATATTAATGGTCACATGTTTAAGTTTCTATCAAACTTTTTAACCAATCGCTCGTTTAGAGTTAAAATCCAAAATACCCTATCCAACTGACATTATATCGAGAACGGTCTTCCACAAGGGTCAGCCCTCAGTGTCTCTCTCTTCTTGGTAGCTATAAATGACATTGGCAACAATCTTCCCTCTCCCGTCAAATACAAACTCTTTGCAGACGATTGCAACATATATTGCAGTGGAACAAGCCTAGCAACCTCTTCCCAACTCTTACAAGAGTCTCTAAACACACTTGCCTTATGGTCATCCAAGACCGGCTTTATTTTTTCCCCTTCAAAAACTCAAGGCATCATATTTAATAAAAAAAAAAATTCACCGTCTCCTTCAATTACCTTGAACATGACACAATTAAATTTTTCGGAAAACTTACGCATCCTAGGACTCACCTTCGATCACAAACTGTCATGGAAAACACACATCAAAAAACTAAAAACTAGTTGCATGGGTAGAATGAACATTATTAAAACTTTATCAAACCTTTCATGGGGTTCTGACCAGAATAGCCTCATATTAATATACAAATCATTAATTCTCTCACTCATGAATTATGGTTCGGTCATTTATGGCACTGCCAAAGCTACGACACTCTCCTCACTTGATCCGATTCACAACCAAGGAATTAGACTAGCCACTGGCTCTTTTAAAACTAGTCCAGTGGCCAGCATATTATGTAATGCCGGAGAACCTCCTCTGCAAATCATTCGTGACAGTAACACGATTAAATATATGATCAAGATTTCAAACCAGCCAAAACATATATCCTTCTCTAACTTCCACCAAAATTTTCCATATACTAAAGCGAAGACTCCCACTACAATCTTTGAAAACTTCAATCGAATAAAAAAGAATATTAATCTTAATATAGATTTAACCAAGAAGTCCCTCTTTCCTATACAAGCGCCTTGGACTTGGTCCCCGGATATTAATACGGATCTTCTCAAATATAACAAAAACACAACTGCAAACTCGTCCATAGTTGCCCTATTCTACGAATCTGTTGAATTCTTATACTACGACTACACACTTATCTACACAGATGCATCTAAAAGTATTAACGGAACAGGTTTCGCAATAGTGGACGGCCAGCAAGCTAAAACTTTTCGACTTCCTTCATTCTCCAGTATCTTCACAGCGGAATCCTATGCGTTATATATGGCAGTCCAATTCGTCGTACAATCAGACTATAAGTATTCACTTATAATAAGCGACTCTCTCAGCGCCCTTATCTCACTACAAGACCATCATCCTCAAAATGAAGTAATCCAACTTACCAAAGACCTTATCTCCTCATCGAAAAACAAAATTAAGTTTATGTGGGTCCCATCCCACATAGGTATCCCCGGGAACGAAAAAGCCGACAAGATGGCGAATGAAGCAGTTACATCCACAACCTCTACCATCATAAATAAAATTCCGAGTAAAGACCTATTAAATGAAGCCCATAAACGGATTATAAAAACATGGCAAAATCACTGGGATTCAATTCCCTCCAGTAACAAACTCAGAAACATAAAAAAATCTATATCCAAATGGGCATATCCAGAGAACGCATCAAGGAGAGAACAAATAGTTATAAACAGATCCAGAATAGGCCATTCCCATATCACGCACTCATATCTGATAACCAAGGAAACCCCCCCCTTGTGTGACACATGTAAAACTCCCCTTACAATGGCACACATCATTATTGTCTGCCCCAAATTCTCAACCGCACGTTTCCTGCTCAACAATCCAAGGTCAATTGAAGAAGCCCTCAGTCAACAGAACTCCGACAACATTTTCAAATTTTTTAAAAAAATAGAACTTGACAAAAAACTGTAAATATTATAATGTACAAACTTTTTAATTTCAGGCTAATAATCTGTGTAATTGAAGCCTTTATGTTAATAAAAAAAAAAAAAAAAAAATATTGATTTATAGACTAGAACCGACATACTGTTTAAGCGAAATGAGTTGTGGATAAACGTCGTCAGCCTGAGGGTGATTTTACAGTAATAATATGTAGTCATAAATAATGTAACGCAAAGTGCATGTCACATAATATGTGTTCATTGTTTTGACTAAAACGATATTTTGTTGTTGCGTATTCATATAAGTATTAAGTATTTATAACATTTTCAGTGAGATAATTCAAAATTAAATGTATTCGAGAAAAGTTTATCAGTCACTGTGATTAATATTTTCCATACAAAATAATGTAATATTTTTATAATTATCTTTGAATACCATAATCCATACTATAATTAACTGTAAATTTGTATACGAACTTTATGATTATGTTTTATGCAATTAGGTATACCTACAATCTACATTCATTAATTATTTAATCGATGTTAAACACTATTAAAACTCATTAGTTTGATTAAAAAAGACAAACAATTTGCCCTACAGCGATTCTATCGTTTAAGTAAATTGAAGTTTTTAAATATATATGATATGATAATATTATGGTTTATAATCACTAATCATGCTCGCTCCCGTTTTTTCCTCTAAAATAAATTAATTCAAATTAGGATTTTTTGAATTATTAAGGACCATATTTTAAAATTCTTCCAAATGATAACTCTTTTTTTCTCTATGAATTATAAAAAGTATCATTTTTTTTATAATGTAGTACCTAATTCAAAATTCAAACGAATAATTTCCCAGTTATCAAAAAAAAATATGATTTTTAAGTAGGTATACTTAATAATATTATAAAAATCGTATTTTGATTATATGCATTATTGAAGAAAAAATGGGGGAGCAATCTTGTATACTATACCTACAACCCAGTGTCTCATATATAATAGGTATTGAACAATTAAAAAAAAATTTGAATATGATTTTTTAAATTAATGTAATTTTTATGAATCAATGTAATAAAATCTTTGAATTTAATTTCCATAAATATGATTAGATAAATACATTTTATCTGAAATGTATTAACTGAAAATTAAGATTAAATAACAATATGTAAACATCACCAAATAAATTTTATTGTTGATTGAACGGATTGTTTTCTATTAAGATATATTTTTTAGGCTGGCTATTTTATGATTTTATAAACTTAATAAGAAAGTGATTACATTTTTAGTTGAGTGGTTCGAAATATATTATATGTAATAGTTTCACAATTATATATATATATTTGTTTTTATTTTTGGAAGAAGCTATTTTCGGGAAAAAAAAGTACTCTAAAAGTTGTTTATATAGATTAGAAATTGAACACAGATGGTTCTTGAAATAGATCATTATTAGAATTGTTCAATAGTTTTCTATAAAATTTAAAAAAAACCACGGAAAAAAACGATAACATTTACTTTACACCAGTTTTTAATAAAATTACTTTGTTGAGTGAGTTATGTTATGTTATGCTTCAAATAAATATTTTACAAATACCTCTTAGTCAATTTGTAATTTTCAAATGTTGATATGATTATAAATAGCTACCTAATTTGAACATATTATATTATAATATGTAATTTATATTCAACCAATCATCAAATTCAATAATCATAATTTATTTTCTATGTGCAATTAAATACATTTTAAGAAGGTCTTATGAAAAATTTAATAATCTTAGTGTCATTTAAAATTTATTATAGAATCTTATTTACCGTTGAATTAAAATTATTATTTATAACACAACGTTGAGAAAAGCTAACACTGAAACACCCACCTTATATATTTGTGTTAGTACCTAAACGTAATTTTTAATGATATTCACTTAACCAAATGCATAAGATTAAGTTAATAGTATAATATTGTATGAAGAGTAGTAAGACATATTTGAGTAATACTATGGTACTAGAGATTAAAATCACTATTAAATTATATTCATAGTGTGTGTACCTACTTCTATCTTACATTTAAATTGATTTTTAAATTAAGTTACTTAAGTTATTAAATTCAATTAAGTACAAATTAATATTTGCACAATTTACTTTCACAGTAATTGAGAGACAAAAACAAGTTACAAGTTTCTCTTTGAATTGGATTTTATCCGAATGTTCGTATTCTTATAATAATTATATGGAAAAACTTGGAAACTGCTTACATAAATTATACATATATTATCTATAAATAATTAACAAATAATCAATAAACATTACGTCGTTATCTTTATTTTACCTCTCAGATCAAATAATAGGTATAGGTAAAGGCTATAGTAATATTAGTTGTAGTAAATTAATTATTAAAACTTGGTAGTTATTGTAACGGATGTCATAAATAATTTATGTTTGAAATTTATTTTGAAATTGTTTGAAAACAGTCAGACAAATATGATCTAGTGCTAGGAAAATTTGGCTTTAATAATAAATTCACTGGTATATACAGAATAAATCATAATTCTTTATGCGTGTACACAGTCTGATTACTTTGCAATTTTGCATTCAACCCTCTGATTAGCGTTCCGCCGATATCATACACCACTCACCAAACAAGAACCCAAGTGACTTATTACTTGTGGGCACTATGAATCAACGCACACACACATTATTATAGTATACATATAATATATATCATATATTATATTATGTTTCTAATTTCTATACCTAAATGTGATTCAGAAATGTTCATTAATTTATGAGTTACTAAATAACTATTACAGGGGCTATAATATAAGATATTACATGGATTATAATATTGAAGAATAAAATTGTATTTTTCTAAACAATCTAATGTACTTAATTTTTTTTTTTAAAGAATACCACATTAAAAATGGTTGATCTTTGATTAAAAATAAAATAAGCCTGTAGAATAAAATTAAACCATTACCAGAAATATCGAGCGGGAATCCTTCACTCCATACATCTTTATGAAATCTTCAGTCTGGATCCAATTGCAATTTACATTCTATTTGTTTATTAAAAAAAAAAGTTTTGTACAATGATATTTAAACCTTCTAATTTTATGTTTAAGTCTATTTGTATGTACAGGGTGTCCCGTGAGGATTTACTCATTGTGATATCTCCTGAAATAATGGAGATATCGTAATTATGTTTTTTATTAAGACTCGCAGAGGTAAGCACTACAAATATTTTATTTTTTAATTAAATTAAATTTTTTAGTAAAAAAGTTAAAAAAATTATTTTTTTATTTTTTATTTTTGAAAAAATTGAAGATAGCCATTCTATAGAGTATATTTTTGTGAACATTTTGAGCTTTTAACATTTTATTTTCATTAATCTCATGATTTTTAATAATTTTTTTAGTTTATTAGTAAAACGTCAATAAACTGGTTTTTGTCCGGGCGGCGAGTCCCCCTCTACGGCTAATGAGTAAATCCTCACGGGACACCCTGTATATAAAATACTTTAATATTATATTATAACTTGTAATATCAGACCAATTTATGTCTAATAAAAAAAAGAATTAAGCCACGACTTTAAAAAAAAATGCAAGAAAACACAAATAATATAGGTAATATAGGTATCTGGTATATACAATTAGTTGGATAAAAACGATAGTCATAATATGTAAGTATTATGAATTATTTAGTTTGCAATGTATTTTAATGCATATATAACAATTTATTCACTAGGTACGTTTTTCCAAGGGATAATACCATTTTATAAAACGCTAACATTTTTAAATAAAATATAGAGAAGTTGAAGAGTTATTGAAAAATAAGAACTATAAAATAAAACTAATGGTTAGGTTATCCACATATAAATGATTATTGACGTTATCTATTAGTCGTTAAAATAGCTGTAAAGTTTAAACTTTTACAGACAGTATGGTTACGGGGCTGTGAATTACATTTAATGTATTTATATACATTTATATATATTATATAGGTATACATGTCCAAAACTTTCCAATTCCCTTGTCGGCGCAACACCAGACGGTCGTTTAGAGACTTTGTTTTTGGGCAATTTGTAATTACACCACGTGATGCATAGAGATTGATCGATTTGAGTTAAATATTTGTTCAAAGGGAGGGATAAAAAATAAAAACAAAAATACCAACCTTTTTGAGCTTAATTACTGGACATTTGTAATGTACACAACACACACACCCTGTACACACGTGTACGTAGGTCACAAGCCACATACAAGTACCTACTACAGTGACATCAAGACAAAAACAATGTCTATTTTATTATATTATAAAAGTCATTACGACGCCTGTTGGTTTAATTAAACGCTAGCTATACGTGGGCCCTGTCGTGGTCTGCGGAGGGTCTGCGGTGCGTTTTATTGGTCGTTTTGTGTAATAACGAAGAAAAAGGGAACCCATGTAATCGTGCCATATTAATATAGAAACCCTGACATTTGGTCACACTTTTCACCCTCAAATTGTGTTGTTGGGCAAAAAAAATCAGAAGCAAATAATAATAATAATAATAATAATAATAAATAATAACGTTCAAACAATAACTCCTGATTTCACGAAACATTGTTAAGATTCATGAGGTATTTATGGGAAAAAACGAGATTTCTTTTTCCGTTCTTTTTCACATTATTAGCACATATAATAAAATATAAAAACAAGTGACTACAGTATAACACAGTTCTGTAATTTACGTGGTTTGAATTTTCTAAAACAGCATATATATGACTCGGGGTTGAATAAGAGAAAATATAAAATAATTTGGATAAAATTAAATTATATTATGTGTCATACAACAACTGAAGGGTGAGTAAACGTGAGGAGATTTTTCAAAAAAAAAAAAGCTCGGTACGTGTTTATCCAAAGATCTCATCGAGTGTGTAGAGGTGTATATACTGGTCTGATAGTGGTTTGGAATATAAAAACTATGCGTACCTATAGGTAGGAACACACGATTTTTTGCAAGGTCGTAAATCACGAAATCGTCATTCTATATAGTTTG